TCCCAGATAATCAAGGGGCTATAAGCATCATTAATAATATGCAAAAAGGTCACCAATTCAATGTACACTAATGTACCTATGATTGAAATTCTTGTGTAATGACTCCTTCTGCTCACGGCAAGATTGTACAGGAAAAATGACCAGTCTGGGAACGTGAGCTCACAGTAGCAGAAAAATTGCTGTCTATCTAGGATTAAAAGTCTTTTCGAGTCATTTTTCTTCTACCCCATATGGAAAGAAAATGCATTACAAAATTGTGTGATGATATCATTAATTACAATGAAAAATGTGTTCAGGTCAAAATAAAGATTAAAAAATGAATGATACCTTAAACATAATTCATATATTTTACTAGATATAATTAAATTGTCTACAGAATATGCTACATTAATTTGCAGTATTATATATACTGTACAGTATACTGTACAGCAGTATGTTTGTATACAGTACTGTATACAAACCTAACCTAACACCTCTAATTAAAGCAGTATCATGTGCAAATAAACCTCCATTCCTGATTATTAACAACTACCTATAATTACTTAATATTTACATAGACCTAGTAAGTACAGCAATATGACCAATTACCTTTAATATTATTGGTGATTTATTATTGATAATCCTAGGCAATTGGAAAAAATGTGTTCATGCATCAAAAAGTGTCTTTGTTTACAAGGTCATAAGTCTTGGTATAAGGTTAAGTCTGAAGGTATCCCTAATCTTTTGTTTTTTGGTTATTTATTTATAACAGGTAAACCATGACTTTAAAAAAATACCATAGCAATCTCATGAAAAAAACAGTCTTTTTATTAACATAATTGATGATGTAGGTGATTCATAGAATGTTTTCAGTGTCTCTACGCTTACCTTAATAACCAATTTTTTTTTTTAATTTGCAGATTGATTTATGCATAAGTGGTATCAAGGAAGACTCATCACAATAGGTATGTAATTAAAGGCTCAAACTTTATGAATGTATACTAATGGTTTTGGTTTAAAAGATCTATAGCTCATTCCAGATAAGCATCATGCTTATGCTCTACGAAAGAGCTTGGAAACTGTAGTTTTAACTCAAATATCTTAATTTGGGGTAATAGTTTCTCAAAAGTAATAATAATAATAATTGCTTACACTTATATAGTGCTTCTCTGGACACTCCACTCAAAGTGCTTTATAGGCTTATGGGGACTCCCCTCCACCACCACACATCATGCCAGAACGCTCACCACACATCAGCTATTAGTGGGGAGGAGAACAGAGTAATGAAGCTAATTCATAAATGGGGATTATTAGGAGGCCATGTTATGTAAGGACCAATGGGAAATTCAGCGTTACACCCCTACTCTTTTAGCAAAACCATGGAATTTTTAATAACCACAGAGTGAGGACCTCGGTTTTACCTCTCACCTGAAGAACGGCACCTTTTTACAGTATAGTTCACCCGTCA